ATACACAACTGTCAAATTTGTAATAATTTTTTATATACCAGTTGTACCTAGTTCCTGATTTTAACATGTTCATTAAAAATATATATAAATGTGTCATTTTCTAAGTCAATATGTAACCCACAGGAATCCTGGCATATGGTTTAGTGGCCTCTGTTTCTATTTAAGTTTGACACCACTGTCTTAGATCATCGATCACCTTAGAAACAGTTGAGGTTATTCTTGAAGCCTGCCCTTTGTAGCCACAGAGCAAGGGAGCTACTGGCCTGGACTTTGTGGCTCTGGCTGTTGGAACCACAAAGCAAAGAGAAGCTAACTGGCACTTGCCCAACAAGCAGGAAATGCCTCAGAACAAAGGAATGGTTTATTTATACAGAAAAAGCTTCAAGAACAATTGACAGACATCCTCTTGATACACCTTAACAGGCAAGGGCAACAACCAGTGATAATTTTTGAATAACCCGGATTACTACTTTAAGCAGTAGACTAAATTACATCAAACTAGTAATTAATGTTCCTTAAAACAGCAAAAGAACAGAAATAGAGACAAATTAGCCTGGGCTGAATTGTGATCTATGACATTTCTCCTACCCCTTTCTTTATGCAGAAACTGGTACATACTCAATTAAAGCTAGAATAATTGTAAGGGAATTATTGGGGTAGACTCCTTGAACTACCCGATCCCCAACTTGTTAAACAGTATCTCCTAGAGCAAATGAATTTCTCCACTCCTCGCACCAATTAGTTTACATTTTTATCCAATCATATGCATATGTTTGGTTTTTCTCCAGAATTCCTTCTGAACTCGAGTAATGCCAATAATAGTCTATTATTTAAAAACAAGCTGCTGGATGTTTTTGCCCAAAGAAATTTCTTTAAATTACCACAAAATAAAATTACCCCTTGGTAGACATTCAATAAAACCAAAATCAAATGCAAACACTATCTGAGGTATGTTACAGTGTTACCCCTCCAGGAGGTGCTTACAAGACTACGGTTCCAGCAAATGGAACCTTTAAAGCCCCACATGACATGGGACCAGATTACCTGAGGGACAGCCTCTTCCCCATGACTTCAACCCGTTCCACCCAGTCAGAGAGGGCATGCTCCAGACCCCCTTGGTGAAAGAGCTCCACCTAGTGGGGTCCAGAAGGCAGGCCTTCTCTGCTGTAGCCCCTGCCCTTTGGAATATCTTGCCCCCAGAGGTAAGATTGGCCCCCTC